CCTCCACGTCGCCCCCCCCCCCCAAAAGCCACGCGCACCTTGATGGTCTTCTTCATGTAGACCTGCTGGGCCGTGGAAATGATGTTGTTGACAAACCAGTAGAGCGTCAGGCCGCTGGGCACGTTCAGGGAGAACCACCCTGCAGGGGGGGGAGGAGGGGCGAAGGCGGGGAGACGAGGGGGCAGCGTCAGCGCTTTGTCGGCGGCAGCGCAACACTTTGCCACCACCGTCAGCCTGGTCCAGGCCCCAAAGGCCCCATCCCTCTGACAACCGCTGCTGCAGGCACACCCAAACCCGACGCGCGCTGACCGAACATTGCAAGCCAGGCTACTCGTGAAAACGTCAATAGTCATTGCGGACTGCAGCCAACCGCAGGGACCCACAGGCGCTTCCCTTGACCCCCTGCCAGGCGCCCCCGCAAAACATGACCCAGACAGCATCGGCCCCGACGCGCACCGATCATGAAGGGGATGAACTGCAGGATGGCCTGCGTCTGCTGCTGCGCGGGGTCGTCCGTCTTGGGGCTGACAATCTTCTGGCTGGCCCACTGCGAGATCACCAGCAGCACCGGCAGGATGAGGTAAGCCCCCGCGTCATGCCAACCGATCGGCGGGGCGCCGTCGACGAAGGGGAACAGCCAGGACAGGCCAGAGCCCTGGGGAAGGGGGGGCCATGAGGTCGCAGGGGTGAGAGGTGCAGGGGTGAGGAGGGCAAGGATGAGGGGGGGAGGGGTTTGCAGGTGAAACGGGGAGCAGGAGGTTGCAAGGAGCAGGAGGCAGTCGCGTGAGGGCGCAGTGAGTGGGTGGGGGTGCCACACGGCGCGTAGAGCCTGGCGCGTCGGAACGGCCCGGCCGTCCGGTGCGATCCCCGGGGCCAGGTGCCACCAGCCGCGCAGCACAGCCGATGGCGCGTGGCGCCGCACTGGAAAGCCCGCTTTGAGTCGCAACATGACCGGCTTTTCCTCCAGTCCCTGGCCGGCACAGCGCAATCAGCAACTCTTCACACTGACACCCCCCTCCCTGCACCCCACGCCACCAACACGTACCCACACGCACGCATGCGGCGTCGCACGCACATACACAGCAGCTGCCCACCTCCTGCCGCATCTCCAGCGTGGTGGGGCCCCCCAGGGAGGGGATCCAAAAGAACCCGCTCGTCAGCAGGCCGTCGTCGGCCGCCTTAGTCAGGGCCTTGTAGAGGCCGATGAATACGGGGATGGTGGCCAGGGTGGGCAGGCAGCCGGCCAGGGGGTTGACGCCGGCCTCGCGGTACAGGCGGGCCGTCTCAAGCTGCGTTGGATTACAGCGTTGAAAGGGGGACCGGGGCCGGGGAAGGAAGGGGAGTGAGTATGAGCGGCGGCGAGATGGGGCACAAAGTGCAGGCGTCCTCCAGCCGCATGGGCGGCAGGGGGTTGGGGCGGTGGAAATGGGGAAGGGGAGAGGGGATAGAGGAGGGCGGTGGGACCCCCAGTGCCGAGCAACCGAGGGCGGGCGCATGCTTGGGAGCTGGCGGGCAGGGAGCGCTCCTGCCAGCGGCCGCCTGGCCCGGCTGGCGACAAGGGGCGTTGCTGAGAAAGCCGGGCGCCGCGCCCTGGTGTGCAAACGTGCGCCCGCCCCGGGCTGGCCCCTGCGGCCACCTGCAGCTGCTCCGGCTCGTTGGCGTATCTGGCCTGCAGCTCCTTCACGCGCGGCTGCAGCGCCTGCATCGCGGCGGTCGACTGCATCTGCGCTCGGGACAGGGGCGAAGGCGGCGGGCGTGTCGTCAGGCACACAGGGGGGGCAGGGTGCGAGCAAGTTGGGATGTGAGCCTTTTCGGCAAGCCCGCTTCCGAGGCGCCACTGCCGATCACTGGTGTGAGCGGTGCCTTTTCCGCCGCCGACCACTCCATGGGCCCCTGCGATCCTGTCGGCGGCCGGCCAACCGCCTGCCGCGCCCGCTCCTTTGACGCGCTCGATCGTCTTGCATGTGCAGCACGCGCATGGCGCCCCAGCGCGCCCGCTCCCACAGCCGTGTCGTCAGCCCCCACTACAGCTTGACCCGCTCTTGCTGCCCCCGTCGCCACGCAGCCCCGCGCGGCCGCATCGGGGGGCGCACCGACTTCTGGCTCAGGGGGAAGGTGGCCAGCTTCACCAGCAGCGTCAACAGGATGATGGCAAAGCCGTACGAGTAGGGCACATTGGCGCCCTCCAGGCCCGCATCGAGGACCTCCAGAATCTTCTCAAAGCCGACAGTCAGGAAGCCAAAGATGCCGCCGTCGTCCGCGGGCGCGGCGGCGGCCGCGGCGCTCGCAGCGGGCGCGGCGGCGGACGCAGCGGACGCTGCAGTGTCGGCGAGGACGTACAGCGCAGAGGTGGCGCCGAGGAGCGCGCTGCGGGCGCGAATGGGGCAAGGATTTGCGGGTGCGGGCGCATGCGTTGCGGCGGGGTGATGCGTGGTTGCGGCC